ACGCTGTTTGTGAAAGATTGCGTGAGGCTGGTCTTGTGGTAAGACTGGAGAAATGTGTTTTTGGAGTCCTGGAGATTGACTTCTTAGGTCACCACATCACTCCATTAGGATCTACACCTCTCCCCTCCAAGATTAAAGCAATTGAGGATTTTCCCCCTCCTCAAACAGTGAAAGGGTTACAAGAGTACTTAGGGATGGTAAACTTCTATCATCGGTTTATTCCCCATGCAGCAGAGGTCCAACGCCCCCTGTACAATGCTTTAAAGAACTTTTCAAAGTCCACTCAGGTCCAGTGGTAGGAAGAAATGAGCACTGCCTTCCAGACTAGCAAGGCAGCACTGACAGAGGCAGCCATGCTTGCCCACCCGAACACCGACGTGCCCATCGCACTCTCATGTGATGCATCGGAACAAGCCGATGGCGCGGTTTTCGAACCATTTGTGGATGGGTCGTGGCAACCCTTAGCTTTCTTCAGTAGACGCTTACGTCCTGCAGAGAAGAAGTACAGCGCTTTGACAAAGAACTGCTCAGCATCTATCTCTCCATTCGTCATTTCCGGTTCCTGCTTGAGGGTCGATTATTCTGTGTCTTCACTGACCACAAGCCCCTGACTTTCTCGATGTCAAAAGTCACAGAACCCTGGTCTGGTCGACAACAGAGGCAACTGTCCTTCATCTCTCAATTCACAACAGACCTCAGGCATATTTCGGGTAAAGACAATGTCACCGCTGACTGCCTTTCACGCTCTATCTCCAACGTGTCGGTAGGCGTAGACTACTCGGCAATGGCAACTTCTCAGGCCGCAAGTGAGGAAGTTCAGGCCTATCGCACAGCCATCACAAATCTCCGTCTGGTTTATACAGCTGTAGAACCAACCGGTCCTCAACTGTTGTGTGACATCTCCACAGGGAAACCACACCCAGTGGTGCCACCAGACTTCCGACGTCAAGTTTTTGACATCATACATAGCCTTTCACATTCAGGGGCAAGAGCTACAGCACGACTTGTGTCCCAGAAGTTTGTGTGGCATGGTTTGAAAAAACAAGTTAGACAATGGGTAAAAGAGTGTTTGGATTGCCAACGATCCAAAGTACACACACACGTCCACACCCCACTTG